CAATTTCTTCACCTAAAATTTCATTGTTAAAAAATTTTGAAATAATAAATATATACTATTATATGGATAGAAATAAATGTCTCGTACCAATATTAGGTTTCATGATAATACGTGGTGTATCAGGAGTAATTAATGTACTAATTGTCATAGAGATTTGATCCACAATATTCATCATTTGATCAGCTATCATCCGTCGTTTTGCATCTTTCAAATCATTCCATGCTAATATTTGTGATTCTTTCATCATATTATTAATACTTTCCACAATTAACTGCAAATTAATCATTTGTTTAATAATTTTTTGATATAAAATTAAATCAAAAAATTGTAATAAAAATATTTACAGAAATTAATCAATATTTGCTATAGTTAACTATTATCAATGGAAAATTTTTTTTTTAATAAAAATTAAAAATTAGAAATAAAAGAATACTTCAATATATCTATCCGCATCATTATCATATATTGTTGTTGGAATCAACAATTTTAAAGCACTAGAAAGAGTGATTAGATCACCACCAATTAATGATTCACGTCGTGTTCGTTGTTGGATTTCGTGTAGAAATTCCAATCGATCCAATGAACCATCAGCTTCTTCCGCATCCATAAGTAATCTTAAATTTCTAATTAAAATTACACATTAATGAAAAAGTTTGGATATCTGGTAATTGTACAAATACTTCAAATATTTAAAACATCTATATTTCTTACCCTTTACTCCATGTGCTAATACAACGTGACAAATCCGGTCCATCCAATTCCCATTGTCCATTTGATCCACATATCCATTCTGCATAACCCGTTGAACCGATTGGACATGGTACGCGAGCTGTCATGCCAAATTCTGTTTTCGGCCAGTCTATGTCACGTTTCGTTATCATATTACAATACAACTGTTTACCATCATTGTCTAACAATTTCATCGTCCTTTAAATTTGAATTAATTTAATTAAAGTTTACTAAAGTATTTAGCTTTTTTCAAAATCAAAAATTTAAATCAAGCATGACTTACGTAAATTCGCTTTCTATTGATGATTTCGTTAAATCATTTATCAATAATGTCTGATTAATAGCAACTGTATTGAATGTTGTTGCCATTGATGTACTTACTGTTGTCTTTACTGAAAATTTCATTTTCTTTTTTTCTTTTCTTATTGCTAATTTTAAAATAATTTTTATTATTCAAATAAAAATTTGATTTAAAAAAAAAAAATTATTTGAGTGCAATGAAAAACAAAAGATGGACATGGACAAACATGAAATTTAAAATGCGTGTAGCAAGTGTGATATTTCTTCGTCGAATTTATCCATTTTCAAAATTAAATTTCAATTTTTTATTTTTTACTTTATATTTCAAAGAAATATTATTTAACAAAATTATATGTGTAAATATATAGGCGTGATTTAAGTTGTCAAAATTGAAACAATTTCATCCACAAATTGAAATTTAATTTTAAAAAGTGATAAACTCATTGTCATATTTATTTGCATATCCGCGGGAAATGTTTTTTTCATTTTGCGCCCATTCTTCAAACATTTTCCCAAATGATAAGACTTGATTTCCGTCTTTTTTTTTTTCTTATCATTGCTTAAAATAAACTAAATTTGCATTATTCTATTTTCTTATTCAAAAAAAAGAAAGGAAGTGAAAAGGAAATGAATTTTTAAAAATTTAAAATTTTAAAAAATTTCAAATTTCAAATTTTTAAAAAATTTTCAAATGTTTGTTTTCAAATATGATTGGTGGTTACCAGGATCCGGTTTTTCGAAGCATTTGAATTCCACATCCAGATATTTTTCCGTATCCGGGCATGGATCACCAAATTGTTTGTTGTTTACCCAAATGCTACACCGCGTATGACCATTACATCTGCACAAGAAAAAAAAAAAGCAAGCAAAATGAAAATGAAGTGTAAATAAGAAAGAAAAAACAAACATAGAAAGTGACAAACAAATAAAACAACAACAGAAAAAAAAATAAACAAGTGATAATAAAATGAAATATGCCATATGTGCTAATTAATTAAGCTCAATCCAATTAGGCTTATTCCGAATTATTTATGATCAGTTAATTTTTGGATGAATTTAATGTAAACTTGAAATATTGATTGGAAAAAGATTAAAATCTTAAATGAAAAAAAGGTGATAAAAATCTGATTGCTTATGAAGTGTATATTTGAAATATATCACAGATCAAACTCTTTCCGCGGATAAAGATAACGGGGGGGTGTGAGAAGTTGAAATGTGACAAACAATTCTCTCTTCTGTATCATTGTCACATGTTTAAAAATAATATTCATTCAAACATAGAATGGTCTCCTCCTATCTTCGATGTGATTATTAGATGCTAATTAATTATTAGATGTATTGAGGATTATCAGTTATTTTAACAGTATGTATCATTGAAATTATCTATATCATAAAAAGAAATATTTCGAAAGTACTTCTTAATTAATTAATTAAAAATCTTTAAAGTACGAAATTCTCGATAAACATTTATGTGAATATTTTTCTCGAGAATTTTCGAAAACCTTAAACAATAAATCTTGCAAAATCCACCTTTTATAACCATTTGATAAGCAAGAGAGAAAAACGAATTAGCTCGACATCTCTAATTAGCAATTTAAATTCCGGTAAGCATTTTGGTAAATAAAAAGCGAGAAAAAAAAAACGGAAAAGCAAAACAGACGAACACAAATGATGAATAGTACTAATTACGAGAAATATTTTGAAAACAACAATTATGCAATAATAGTACGGTACAAAAACACGGTGCATGATGTGAAAATTTGAAATTTAATTAAAATTTGTAAAAATTTCATTTTTCTTTTTGTACCTTCTATGCATGAATAAACAATTTCCAGGTATTTTGGTTCCCCAGGACATGAATCCAAACCAAAACGACTCGTTTCCACAACAAACAAACATCGCTGCTTATTGTCGCAACTTAAACCAACAAATTTAAATTTTATAAAAAATATTTTCAACTAAACTGCAAATGAGGTACTGTAGAAACAAAATGAAATACTGTAAAACAAAAAATTTCGAGAAACACTTTTAAAAAATAAAACTGATTTAATAGTGTATATTATTATGAATGTGAATTATAAACCTTTAAATAGTTTAAATTCTGAAAATATTTGCCAATGATTTTTATCAGAACTTTTTCACCAATTATCATCTTAGCATAAAGGATCGTGAGAATTAGCATGGTAAAATTTTTTTTTTTTATCAAAAAATATTTACAGATATCATTAATGATGAATTGATAATGAAATGTAAAAGAATAACAAAATTCCTTATGAAGCAAGCAAAATGAACTTTTGTCTCCTTTCCCATTAATCAATTTTAATTTTATTATAGAAATTTCTATTTCAATCTATTTAATGCCAACAAATTTATCCTTTTTTTTTTTTTTCATTTTATGTGTGAAAATATAGGTGACATTAATGGGATAGAAAGGAGACAGCAGATGATAGCTTCTAGCTTTTATCTATTTATTCAGCTTGTATCGAAAGGCATTTTATTAGCCAAATACGTTATTTCATTTAGCTAGGAAATGTTGATAATTAAATTTGAGAATTGATCAATGACAGGATAAAATAAAAAATCAATATTTCGCTTAAGGTATATTTAAGGTAATGAAACAGAGAAGATCGAATTTAACTATTTTAATTCTTTGAATAATTTAAATTCAGAGAAAAAGTCGAATTTAACTATTTTAAATTCCTTTAATAATTTAAATAAAAGAGAAGATCGAATTTAACTATTTTAAATTCTTTTAATGACTTAAATTAAAAAAGAGAATCGAATTTAACTATTTTGAATTCTTCTAATAATTAAAATTAACAGAAAGACCGAATTTAACTATTTTGAATTCTTTTAATAATTTAAACAAAAGAGAAGATCGGATTTAACTATTTTAAATTCTTTTAATGATTTAAATTAAGAAAGAGGATCGAATTTAACTATTTTGAATTCTTTTAATAATTTAAATTACATGAACTCAAATACAAAAGCTAATTACAAAAGTGAAAAGGAACAGCTATGGAGAATGGCGATCAAAGTGTTTAGTTTAGTTATCCAAATTGAATTCAACGAAGTCAAATTAGGAAATCGAATACTGAAATTTGAGAAAGCTGGACGAAAAAAATCAAATATTCGAATTTAAAATAGTTAAATTAAAAAATTATTCATTTATAAAAATTAGCAAAAATACAAGTAACAGGAAAGGATATGTATATTCAAAAATTGGCAAATTTTATCAAGAAATTAATTAACATCAACTATCACAAATTACCTGTGCTATAGTAAAAAAAAAAAAAAATAAAACTCATATA